TCTCCTTCATATCCTTCCCCATCTCTCTCTCTCTGTCGCTCTTTTTGTGTCTAGCTCTCTCTCTATCTCTTCCTCTGCACGCCCATCCTTTTTCCCGCCTTCCCCGTCCCATGTCCCCCGTCCCACGATGACGCTCAAGAGAGGCCGAATTCGCTTACAGTTGATTTCAGCGTACTTCCCGCATACTGGGTACACTGATGTACACATACAACACATGTATGATGGCATTGGCGCTGTGCTCAAGGAAGCCCGCGTCAGCAAAATACGAACCATCCTGGCCGCAGACTTCAACGCGCAGGTTGGCGCACAGCGGCGGATCGTTGAACGGCCGCAAGACGACCAGACGTCCTCCGACGACGTCTCCTCTCGCTTTGTGGGCCCCCACGGCTTTGGCGACGAGAACTCCAGAGGTCAATGGCTACGACATTGGGTCACACAACAGAAACTCGCAATCGCGAATACGTTCTTCCGGAAACCCCCTGACAAGCAGATCACATACACCACGACCAAAGGCAAGCCACGGCAGTATGATTACATCCTTGTAGACAGAACTCTACTCCCTATGTGCATCAACGCCGAAGCCTCCAACATAGCGGATCTCAACTCGGACCACAAAGCCGTGGTACTCCACATTCGTTTTCCAATACAATCGAATGGAGATACCAAGCGCTCATCTCGACATCCGCCGTCATCCAACGACTCCTGCAGCAAACAGTGGACGCGCGTCAACTTCGACGACTACCAGCAGCACCTGGGCCGCCAATTACAACCCGGGGCTTTGCCGACAGACCCTGAGGAGCTCTGCCACGCTATCGAGAAAAGCCTGTGCGATTCCATGACGCGTGGTGGTACTAAGACAGCGTCTACACAAACAGCTGCGGCCGCTGCCGCTCACAGCGTCGAGCAAGCTCATAACGACAGCATTGTTTCAGGCCTGATCAAACAACGCCAGAACATCCCAACTGCCGACACCGCCACCCGGAAGGCAATCAGCAAAGCAATTCGACAACAGCTTCGACGACAGAAGCGTGCTGACAGGAGAGATCGGATCAACACCATCCTGGAGCAGTACAAGGGTCTGAAACACATACGCTCCACGAAAACTAGGCGGAAGAAGACGCTGATTCTTGAAATGACCGGGACCGATGGCACAAAGCAGACAACGCGACAGGGCATCGCGGACACGTTCGCGGATTTCTATGCTCAATTGTACGCTTCTGACGCTCGCTGCACATCGCCAGCCGTGGATTCAGAGCCACAGCAGATCACACCTTTCACGACAAAGGAATTGAAGATGGCAATATCACAGCTCAAGGGCGGCAAGGCCCCTGACACGACAGGGATCCGGTCTGAAATGCTCCGACAGCCAGGCCCTGAGCTTGAGAACGCATTGTTGCAGCTGTACAACACGATCATACAACCGAACGCTCCGACACCAGCAAATTGGAGAAAAACTGTCATCACAGTGATCCCCAAAGCGGGTGATTTGACGAATCCTCAGAATTACCGCCCGATCTGTACAATACCAATGTTGTACAAGCTCTTCAGCCGCCTATTGTACAACAGGTTGTTGCCTACGCTGGATCAGCAACAACCTGACGACCAGGCCGGCTTCCGACCCGGACGGGGCACGCGGGACCACCTCTTCACGTTCAACATCTTGCGAGAGCGGGCAGCAGAATGGAATCAAACATTATGGATCGCAGCGGTGGATTTCAAAAAGGCTTTCGACACAGTGGAGCACGACAGTTTATGGACATCGTTACTTCACCAAGGCGTGTCTTCTGGATATGTGGATCTTCTACGACGTCTGTATCACGACCAGACAGCTGTGGTCCGCACTGGCGCTACTAGCAAGTCTTTCAACCTCAGCCGCGGTACAAAACAAGGTGACCCCTTGAGTTCACTACTGTTCAACGCGTTGCTGCAGCATGTGCTGAAACCGGTCATCCAGGACTGGC